CCCAGGTCTTCAGCACACAGTCCCTCTCCCTCTCTGGATCTAAAATCACCAGCTGCTCCATCGCTCCACGTCATCATCTCTGGCTCCATTTCAGGCATCACTGCTTCTCTGGGTAGGGTTCCGCTCTCTGCTCTTCTCCCTTGATGGTCGTATGAGGCTATGAATCTTTGTGGGAGCAGAAAGCCTCATCTTTTTCCTGCAGAGTGGCTGGTGGGCTTGAACGCCGACCTGGTGTTTCACAGGCCAGTGTTTATCCTACAGAGCCACCACATTCCCTAGTGCTCTTCCTACAGCACCAATAACAAATTAGTTTTTTTGTTTAGTTAGTTATGATAGTTCAAAACATAAAATAATGTATTTAGTGCTTAATTATTCTAAATGCTTTATAACATATACTTTCATTTAAGCCTCAAAGCAGTTCTATGGGGTGGGTACTGTCATCTTCACTCTCATTTTAAGGTTGAAGGGGTGAGGTTTTAGAGGACTTGAGTAAATGGCCCAAAGCTGAGTTTAGCTAGTGGCTAGATGGGCTAGAATGGGACGCAGGCAACTTGAGACTGCCCATCCTACTACTTGTCAGCATTGCCAGGTTCTTCACTGAAGACCAAGGGGCAACAACAAGACTGTATGATGGATTTCATCCAATGAAATATTCTGAAAGAATATGGTTTTTAAATATTCTGGAAAACACCATGTAGTCTTTCATTATTTCAATGCAAGTCTGAAGTCAAAGTAAGAATCAGAAATCTTGTTAGAACATACACAGCACAATTCAGCACCTTTCTCTCCATTTATTGTTTTAAATATATAAACAGAATGGTCATGTGGTAGCCAGAGTGCTCCATCAGGATTCAGAAGGCCTGGGTCTAATGTGGCTGCTAGTGTATTACTTTATTTCTGTGGGCCTCAATTTTTAAAAATTTTTATCTATAATCCATGGGCATTAAACTAGACTAGTGGTTTCTAACTTGTTTCATTCTATTTTTGCTTTAATATAGTTTTGTGGGTTTTTTTCAACAGTATTGCTTTTCTTTTTTGTTTGGTAAAAGTTTACACAGCAAATTAGGTTCCCATTAAACAATTTCTATACAAATTGTTCTATGACATTAGCTACATTTTCTCACAATAGGTCAATGTTCTCTCTAATTGTGTCCTGGTTATTTCATTTCCAGTACTCTAGTTTCCCTGTCCCTTTATCTTCTCATCTTTGCTTTAAAATAAATGCAGACCTTTTGGTCTCATATAGATGGTCCAATTTATTTCTTGATGATAGAACTTATTTTCAAATAAAATCTTACTTGGAATTCAGATTGTTCTGGGGGCAGGGGCTCCACAGGCCAGTGCCTCACTAATACCCCGTCACTTGCACCTGTTCCCCATCTCACCTCTATGACATCCCAGGACCTTTCCAGGAATACGGCAGCACCAGAAGCATAGGTGAAAACTACTGAATTGACTTACTGCCAAGCATCCCATGCTCCTCAGCAAGACTTTCATGGTGCCGTTCACACAGCTGTTATAGTCAGGTGCCGTGGAGTCGTTTCAGACTCAGCAATCCTGTACAGGGTTTCAGAAGCTGTAATCTTTGCAGGAGCAGAAAGCCTTATCTTTCTCCTGCCGACTGTCTGGTGGGCTCGAACTGCTGGCCTTGTGGTTTGTAGCCCCGTGCTTATCTTATGGAGCCACCATGCTCCCCTTCCACATAGTAGGCACCTCTTAAGTACTCACGGGGAAACAAATGAGATATTACTCTGCCTTTTCAGAAATGCAGATATGTACTTTTCATTTCCTCTACTGATTGGCCTAGGCAGTTAAAGTCCTAAGATGGATCCTGGGGGAAACCCAATGCTACGTTTATGGCAAAGCTGCTTTTGGATCCTGAGGTGGCTTCCAAGTTCACTGTGGCCATAAGTTAAGGGTCTGTCAGCACTTCCATTATGAAAACCACTTTGTGGTTTCATAACTTAGTTGTAAAAGTTTGCTTCGGGCTACACTTCACCATACAAATTGAAAAGCTTATTTTAAGCCAAAATGTGGGAATTAGAAAACAAACAATTTATTGGTTTCAGGCATAGTTTTGAACCCAACTTAGCCAAGCAAGATTTATTATGTGGGCAATTAGTGTAGACTAAGCCATTTAGTTCTTGAAAAATATAAAAAAAGGGGGGAAATGACCAACTATTTATATTTCAAAAGGCGTCCCTGCCTGCCACCAATCATTCTTTTTGGCTGTATGTTTATCAGGTACGAAAGACGACACGTTGATAACACCCAGGCCCAATTTACATTTTATTTCTTCTGTTTTGTTTTTTCAAACACATTTCTGTTAATCATAGCAGGTTGATATGTAACTTACCTTGTTATTATCAAAAGGTAAGTGATTTAAATGAGAATATTGTCAAAGGAGAGCTTAATGCTGCTTTCCATAAGTTCTTTGACATTGGCAAGTAAATGTAATGAACAGAAAAGGAAATATCTGCCAAAAGTAACTAGGAAGTTAAGAGACTGAGGGCTTTTAAACCATAGTAGGTAGGGCCAACTCAATGGGAGAATTCACAGTTTCCATGGAGGAGATACAGATCTGATTCCCAGTCAATGCACCTCATGTGTAGCTACCTGTCAATGAAGCTGACCAGGTTTCATTGGAACATCCAGGCTGAGATAGACTAGGAAGAAAGGACTGGTGATCAACTTCTGAAAAGCAGTCAATGAAAACTCTACGGATTACAGCAGTCAGCTGACTCAAGGGCAGATAAGCAATAGCAGCAACATAGCATGTTGCCGGAAGAGGCTTTAGAAGTCATCTGGTCAGACTTCTGAGTTTATAGATTAGAGAACCAAGACTCCTGGGAGGAGAGATCTATGGGAAGATATCCTGCTTCTAACCATTAGCATGACAACCAGGTGTTCCTTATCCTAATTTGTTGATGCCTCATCAATGTTCCTACCAAATATGACCTCATTCGAAGTTTCAAGGACTCTACGTTTTTGTGGTCTTCTATGCCTATCACCAGCTGCTTGTTGGAAACCCTATACAGGGTTTCTATGGGTTGGAACCGACTCGATGGCACTTAACAACAACAACAACAACATAATGCCGAGAAGTCCTGGTGTAGGATAAGTACTGGACTGTAAGGTCGGCTTAAACTGGAAGGTCACAGTTCAAACTCACCAGCTGTTCAGAACCCCTATACAGGGTCACTATGAGTTGGAACTGACCCAACAGCACTTAATAACAACAACAACAATGCCTACGGAGTCCTGGTGGTGCTGTGGGATAGGTGTTGAGCTGCTTATCAAATGGTCAGTGTTCAAAACCACCAGCTATTCTGAGGGAGAAAGATGAGGCTTTCTGCTCCCAGAAAGATTTACAGTCTTGGAAACCCTACAGAGGGTCACTATGAGTCAGAATCAACTCAGTGGCAGTGAGTACTCTAATGCCTAACACAACACACATAAACGGCCCTGATTACACAAGAACACACTCTTCTGCACACAGACACTGAGAATCCACAGGAGATTAGGGTCCCTGTGGAACACTCGTGTTGTATCCTCTTTGGGCCATAGTTTTGAGTACCTAAAGTCAGTAGGTTAGAGTCCTGGTGTGATGCTGTGGTGAATGCACTGGACTACAGAGTCGGTTTGAACCTCAAGGTCGGCGGTTCAGGCTCACCAGTCATTCCTAGGAAACTCTATACAGGGTCGCTTTGGGTCAGAACCAACTTGATGGCACTTAACAACAAGAGTCAGTGGGTTAGTTATCAAAGGTAAGTTAAGGGACCGCAGGTCCATAACTTCATATAGTGACACATCCAGGCATGGGGCCATGAGTATTTTAACAACAAATGGGTCAGTCCTCCAGCTAGGGAATGTAACTGAATGCACCAGGCTAGTATTACCAAACTGGAGCAGATCATTTACTTATGAGTCTAATTCAGTGCCTGACAATCTTCTGTTATGGTATTTGGGGACAGAATAAAGTTGTTCCCAGTATACACCCTCCCTCCACTATACTCATATTTATAGCATTTTATAAGTCCCTTTGACAGTGTTACAAATGTTTGCTTACATATCTGTCTCCCCCAGTCAAGCTCCCTCACCCATACTCTGGGGCAGGAACCACATCTCATTGCTCTCTATGCCACAGTTGTCTGGCACAGGGAAGACACTGAACAGACATCAAGTGAATGAACGAACAAATGCACGCACTCACTAACAGAGCTGTTGTCTTCTGAAGCAGCTGTCCAGGACTCAGCTTCACCACCTCCGGTACCCTGTACAGAACTCCTGCTCCCCACAAAACCAGTCAGATCCCTCAGCTTTACAGAAACATATTTTATAGGGGGGAGAAAAAGAAATTCTGGTAAAAATAGCTCAGTAAAGTATTTTCTTAAGTCAGAGAGGAATTTGAATCAAAAAAGCAAGGCATTTCGAAATACCTGGGTAGAAGATCACAGCCCACTCCAATCTCTCTGGTTTCCACTTCAGTCTTGGGCTGGGTTTCTATTAAATAGTCCAATCTGCTTTGGAGTTCATTATTCTAGAGATGAAGGGGTGGAAAAAAACTTGGTAAAGCAAATATGTCTCCCCACAATAGACACGATACAATTTATATGACTTTTTACTTATGCCACACTAGCTGGGTTTTCCCCACTATATGGCCATTGATCACAATATATTTACTGAGTACCTAGAAAACCCTAGTTCTAGGGTTGATTCATAGTGACCCCATGTGACATTAAACTCTGTCACATGGGGTCACTATGAACCAAAATTGACTTGATGGCATCTAACACCAAGTACACCAAACCTACTGCCATAGGGTCGATTCCAACTCACAGGAACCCTGTCGAAGGCTGTAAACCTGTCCAAAATCAAACAGCCGCCTCTAATAGTCCTTGTGGCGAGGGGTCCAGGGCTGATTGTACAGTGCGACCAGTAGGTGTTCAAGACATAGTCAGCGAATACTGGATTGTGTGGATGTCTATGTATCTAATTTTACATAAATGAAAAGAAACTAAATATCCTAAGCTACATGAGGGGGCTTTGAAAAAGTTCATGGAAAAATTCCATTTTCTTTCCATTCCATTTTTTCGTAAGAGTTTTGAAATTCCTTATACTATAAAACGTTTTTTCCCCCATTCAACAATTTGTTGGAGGATATCTTTCCATGTCTATTAGTTTTCTACTTATGGCAATAAAGTACTTTAATGCATTCATTAATAAATTCATCAATAAAGAATGGGTATACATTATTTGGAGTCCTGGTGTGGCACTGTGGGTTAATGCGCCAGACTGCAAAGCCGTTTCAACTGTTGCTATGGGTCGGAATCGACTCGACGGCACTTGACAACAACACACATTATTTATTTAACTAGTGTCTTATTGATAAGCATCTAGTTATTTATCTCTTTTTTGTTTTCAGTTATAAATAAGGTAAAGCTCAACTTTCAACACCCTCTCGTTAAACCATAAAATGAGTAAGTCTATTAATTTTATTTAGTGGGAAATACCTCTATAACTTAATAATTAGTATTTCATAGGTGTGAAGAATTCTGAATCCGAAACATATGAAGTAGAACAAGCCACTTGGGGTTAAAATTAGCATTTTGAATAGTTTTTTGTTTTCTTTTTCAAGCCAGAGCCAAACATTACATCGTTTAATGATTAGATGCTCAGGAATTAGAAATCTGTCTTATGAGAGAAATGAAGAAAAGAAGGAAAAGAAGTGAGAAGTGAAGATGTTGAAATGAAAATAGATGAAGTAAGGGTGCTTAGATGCCAACAAGAAAAAAAACACAAACAATTTTCACAAAGGCTGGGTAGTGGTTATCTGTCTATTGAGATTTTGTTTTTTAAAAAATATATAGATAAAAAGTTCTTCTGTATGCTTCTCTGTAATTTACTGTATTTCTGAGGGAAAGGATGAGGCTTTCTCCTCCCATGAAGATGTAAAGCCTCAGAAACCCTATACAGGGTCACTATGAGCTGGAACAGACTCAACGGCACTGGACAACAACCGTATTTTTTGTTGAGACGTAACAGACTTGTGTGTGTTCTAGGCTGTATCCTCAAAGTGTGGCATGCAGGAGATGCTTTATAAATATTTACTGAATAAATAAAGGCATAAATGTTTTACAGTGAGCATATTAAACATATGACCAGAAAAAAGAAAAAGCATACCATTTGATTTTTTTTTTTAAGTTGAAGCTGAAGTTGAGCTATAATTCTAAGATGCAAGTTAACACAGGCAAGTTTAAAAGTTCCAAGAAAATATAGGCTTATTTGTTTTGTATAGAGGAATGTGGGTTATAGCTCAATAGCTCCTGCTTTGAATGGGTGATTCCAACAAGCAAATCAGCAGGTCTTGTACAAACCTCTGTCCTGTAGAATGTAAAGGTCTACAGATCCCTTCTGATCAGTAGGGGATGGTGTCAAGAAGAGAAAGCTTTCCAGATTCCCTAGCATCTGACAAGCCATGACAGATCTATGGACTCTGAATATTTCACCTAGTGCTCTGTATGGGAGAAAGGTACTGGCTTCTGGCCAGGGAGATATCAACATTCATATACACACACACACACACAGTTTCCCCAGAAACATCTGGACACTGCCATTCACAAAGAAAGAGGGAGCCAGTAGAGGTCTGCCCTTTAACAAGCTCTTAGCTTTATGCTGGGTCTAGAGCCTATAGTTAGGGACATAAAAGACAAAGCTAGTATAAATATATCCCAATTAGTAGACAGTGAATAGGAGGCCTGGTGTGGCATTGTAGGATAAGCACTAGACTGTTAACCATAAGATTGGTGGGTAAAACCCACCAGCCACTCCTTGGAAACGCTATACAGGGTGACTGTGAGTTGGAACCAAGGAGCTCTGGTAGCATAGCGGTTACAAGTCAGGCTACTACCAAGGTCAGCAGTTTCAAACTACCAGCTGTTCTGTGGGAGAAATCTGAGGCTTTCTGCTCCTGTAAAGATTTACAGCCTCAGAAATCCTATGCAGAGTCACTGTGTGTCGGAACCAATTCAACAGTACTTAACAATAATAGTCTAAAATATTTAGTCTTATTTCATGAAAACTCTACGTGTGCACATCAGATACCCACATAAGCAGAGGAACTACAAATGTTTATATCCATGAAAATTATGAAAAATAGTAAATAATAAATGTTTTAAAATTATCAGGTAGCTATACTCTTATTGCATGGAGTGTGGAATGTTGTTAGCACATTAAAAAAAATTAATGTTGTATGGTTTCCAACTTGAGAAACCCAGTGTCAAGGTGGGAACAGAGAAGGAAGCTGAAAATAATAGAATAATGTGTTAAGTGCCCAGCCAGTGAGACCCACAGAAGATTCAGGGGAAACTCGGAGGGGACACCTAACTGCAAATGAGGAGAGCAGTAGTTGGATTGTCTGTAAAGAGTTCCTGAATCTAGTTAAGGTTAAGAGAAAAACAAAAAGCAACAAAGATGAGTATTCCAGACTTGTGCATGCCTATAGGTTGGGAACAGGCATGTATGCAGGTGAGTGAGAGTTACTTATGAAGAGCATGCCTGGAATTACAAGTAGCTTATCACCTGCCCCACAAGGCAAGGTCAGACCCGGATTTTATGTTAATCACTTGAGTTTCCCAGTGAACATTGGATTAGAGAGAAATAAGACTAAAGACAGGATGACCAGTCAGAGAGGCCATTGCCAAGCAAACTGCTAAAAAAAATGTTCTGGTATAGAGAAATGGGATTTAACAAACTGATTCTTCTGCAAATAAAAGCTATAAACTCTGTGCAAAAGATCAAACACAACAACTGAGGTCTCTGGAAATTGAATGAAGACAGGTACATTTTGGAGGACAAGTAAAGCTTGGAGCCAGAGACAAGCATAAAATGGCTTCTCTATTTAATTTGTTCTTTTGGCTTGTGTTCCTGTTTTTGTTTGCAGCGTTGGCCTGAGAGCATCACAGTCATGGTCGTGACATTAGAGGGACTGTACAAATCTAATAGAAACCCAGGATAACCAGGGTTATCAAAAGTGAGAGCAAACAGGGAACACCATGGTCAATAGGAAAACCCAGTCTATAAAGACACTGTTCTACATCCTACTTGAGTGAGTAGCAAATGGAACCTTAAAAGCTCATGAGTGGTTATCAAAGATGCAACTATTGGTCTCCGTATGTGTGAAAGGAAGAAGAGTGATGACAATGTGAAGACGCTTGGAATCAACTACTCCAATGGACCAATGGAATATATGAACATCAGTCATCGTGACTGCGAACAGAAGAACTAGATGGTATCCCATCACCATACCAACTACTTTCAAAGAGATCACACAAGAAGGTCCTGTACAGAGTGGAAGAAATATAGGGAATAAAAAGAAAGACTGGGCTTACTGGTCAGAAACAGAGTAGAGGAACTCAAAACTATGCCCTCGACCACCCTTCAGGTCTGGAATGGAACTCACCCTCATGGCCCAATTTTCAGCCAAACAGTAGGTAGGTATATAGGGGGAACAGTAACACTAATAAGGTATGCTCACCATGGAATGGTCAATCATTCAAGATCAAAATGACATCATTTACCAGAGAACAAAGTTGAGAAGGGATGGAAGGAGGGTGGAATAGAAATGGGAACCACAGGGAGGAAGTGGGATAACTGTGGTTGCAGGGAGGGGATTGTAATTATTGAGATAAAACAAAGTGCATCCTTTGTGGAATGTAAAACTGATGATCTGCTCCGGACACCTTCACTCAATTCACAACAAAAAGTTAAGTAAAAAAAGAGAGACAGAGAGAGAGAGAGAGAGAGAGAGAACAAAGCCAAAAGAGAGAATCAGAGAAGGCAGCAACCCAAATCCTGTGTAAAGATTTATTTCAGGTCTCTGACTGACCCAGAATCATGGATGTGGGCATGCAAACTGAAAGATGTTTATAGTCAAGGCTTAAAGGTTTGTACGGGTAGCCACCAACTTACAAAGACAAACCATACCCATGACCATCCCCCTTATGTGTGCATGAGAGAGAGACATCTTCTTATCATTAGTAATATATTCTGCATATAATATTTCAGTGCATAATTTGCTAATGTTATCATTCTCAGATATTCATTCACAGATGTTCAATGCTATGATTTACTGTTCAAAATAGTGCCATGTAGACTGAGTTTTCTATATGAAATCTATATGAAAACTTGGTCCCATGTGTCAATGCTAAAATCAATAGGCAGATTCAGGAAGCAGTGAGATGTTCATGTGAAATATGAGAAAAAAGGGCCATAGAGACAAGTCTAACAAATCTTCTGACTAAAAATGCCATCCCCAATACTAGGGATCATCCAGATGATCCAGAACCTTCCACAAGTAGAGTTATCACTACAAATGACTAAATGCCATAGTCCAACTCTTCTTCATTGCTGGAGTAAATGTCTATGATTTGTGTATTTCTTTAATGTATGTATGTGTCAAAATGTATCTGTAATTTTATATGTAACATTCCCAACCCCCAAAGAAAATAAAGATAAGATTTATGAAGATGCTGATAATAC